TGAATATAAATTTTCAGTTCAACTAAAAGGCAGAAAATAACAACATCTGAGAAGCTTGAGTTTTACGCAGCTTCAGACAACAGACTCTGTAGTGTATGTTCTAACGAGAGCAACGTCATTTCAGACATTAAGCCACGACGTGGAACTTCACCACTAGATGTTGCTAAATCCTTTGCATCTCTTATATGAAACATCTCTTTATAAAACTCCATAACTGTTGTTCCTGTGACTCTGTTCAGACACAACCATGAGGCTGATTCACCTGCTCATGTGTCACAGCAGCAAAACAAAGCCTTCCCCCCACCCTGCCTGACACACGTCCTCATCACGGCCCTGCACCCAGACCCCCCCCCCCCCCCCCCCCCCCCCCCCCCCCCCCCCTCCCCCCACCCCCCCCACCCCCCACCCCAACCCTAACCCTAACCCTAACCCTAACCCTACTACGTCAGAGGATAAATTGAATATACTAAGAGCTGTCTGTTAGTGTCTATATTTAATATAGTGCGCTGATGAGGTGTTGATTTATTGCTGGCCAGTATTCACACTCTATTACAAGGAGATTACGTAGCCTGAGTGGGATCAGGACGGCAACACAGTAAGTAGATTTCACAATTTAATGGCAAAGAGAAAACAGAAGCCCGGAGGGGGGTGGAGGAGGGAGGGCTGATGGGTGGGTGGGTGGATGGGTGGTGATTACGGCGGAGGGGGTTGAGCTGACACAAACAGGACAACGGACAAGAGGGGCGATCTCTTTTTAAAATGTCTATTAGATTAATCTGCCGCGAGGAGAGTACACAAAAACGAAACGCACAGAAAGACATGGGAATAAGTGTGTTGGAAATTAATTTCTTTGGGGCGAAAAAAATCGAGGTGTTTTGTGAACGTGACGCTTGTGGTGCCTCACCCTTCCCTGCAGGGGGTGCTATTAACTTAGCATGCGTGTTGTTTTTGTACGACACACACTGTAGTAATGACATTTTACCACCGCAGCTTCTCGACTGTGACACCTGTTGTTGTTAGCATCGTTAGCTTAGATAAACTACTGTCAAAAAATATATAAAATGCTGCTGTTGTTTTAACCATTTCACATTCCAGTGGTGACATGACACGAGTAAAAATATGTTTTACTGCTCCGGGGCAGCAGCCGAGTGTCAATGTTTACTTGGCCCCCCTCACCCTTCAGAGAATTCCCAGATGGAAACACTGGGGCCTGGGAAGCTCCGAGACTCCCAACAACACGCACCACTTGAATACGCAGCGTGCGTAGCGGGGTTTCTTTTTTTGCATACGAACACACGACATTCCCACTGCGGGTGGGAAAGGATGTGGGGGTCATAGAGGTCACGCTGGTAGCCCATCACTCTTGACGAAGGTGTCAGTGTCAAGGTGGTAAACAAGCTGCGGCGCTCCGGAGCTGTCAGTGGACTCAGTCACTGCCTAAACCTCTGGAACTGAGTGAAACGCAGCTTTATGAGATGGAAAGAAGGGCCGCAGGGCTGGACAGTGCACTGCTCTGTGTGTGTGTGTGTGTGTGTGTCAAAGGTTGTTAACACCTTAGCAACAACACGCCATCTGTCAGCACCCCCCCCACTAATGCTCCTAAGGAGCCTGCACCCCCAGGCCACCGAGCCGTGGTGGCTATTTGGAGCCGTGACAGAACAGCGTCCACGCGCTCCGCAGTAATTATCAGATCATCAACGGCAAATTCTGAATGAAGTGGAGGCTGAAGTCAGAAGACGGAAAATATGAAGGAGGATTTTTCGACGTCAGTCGGCGTCCACCATGTTAGCATCAGGTGTCGTCGCTGACTGTGATTCCAGTCCTGATCCGTATGTGTCATTTAATCATCAAAACCTGTCTTTTAGGTTTGGTGGAAAAAAAAAAAAAATCTATGTTGATTGACCTCAAATTCACATTTAGATTTTTCCCTAAAACTCAAGCATAAAAAAAAAAAATCCTGAACAGGATTGGCTCTTGCTGCTTCCTGGCGTTTCTTTCTCCCTGCTTTGCCAAAGATTAAATGTGTTTCCATGACTTTTTCTTTTTATTCCAATCAGAAAAAAGAGGACAGTTTTAAAAGTTTAAACGTTGCTAGAAACGAGTGAGATACCTGAGAAGAGGAGTGATCAATAAGTAGATCCCAGCAGATCACAGAGGTAGATCAACAGTTATGATAAAAAATGAAAAATATAAATTTAATTCTGTAGTTGTGGAGTAATGACCAAAAACAAATGATTTTGTTCATATACAGTTCATATGAGTAAATATATATTTCATATGTGTGAACATCATGGCCTCAAATGTTATGGTAAGGTCAAAGGTGAATCAACCCAGTCTGACTTCACTTTGTTTTTACTGATCTAAATTATAGTCAAACTTTGAACCATCTCTCGCATTTTTAACATTTCTTTCATGGAAACCTGAGGAATTATTTAGGTTTTGTTCCTGTTCCAGAAACAAAGCCCTCGTTCTATTGGAAACCTTTGAATCAACACCATGATTTTTCAACAGCGCCCCCTCCTAGCACTTCTGCTCCCCCCAATTAAAACTCAATACGGCCCCTCCACTTCACATTAAACCACAGTTTAACCCATTTTCAAATGTTAACGTAGAAAACGTCAAAATGTAGTAAAAAAAAAAAAAAAAGAAAAATCCATGGAGACGACGTAAGTGCCAATTTCCCTGACGTTTTAAACTGTTACGTTTGTACACGTCGGCTCATCAGTCAATGGCTGTAATCAATGTGATCCACTTCATAATGAACTGTTAATCTTTTTAATTCCTTTTCCTAAGGCTGCGAAAATCTATCAGAATGCAATCAGCAGTTTTTATACCCTCATTCCTGCCTTGTCCCTGAGCGGGCGGTGGGAGAAATATAGTGGGGGACGGAGCGCGGCAGGCTGCCCCGAGGTAGCGCTGGTGCGGGGAGTGTTAGTGCACCGAGTCTCGCTCAACCAGTGAACCGTCTCTGATCAGGTTCAGCCATGTACAACTCAATTATGCAGCCATTTCATGGCCAGAGGACACCTAGTGTCCTAATACAGACACCACCAGAGGGACTGACATAAACCAAGGAGTGAAGTGAAAGTCTTTATTCTGTCGCCGTCTTTATGATCTAAAAATATGTCTGGCTCTGATAGACATGTTAAACCTGTCCCGGTGCGGTGCGGTGTGTGCAGCGCCTCTTGTGTGTGTGTGTGCTGCAGGTGCGTATGTATTTACCCACAAGCAGATCAGAATAATCAGCTTAGACCCCGGTGTCCTGCATGTGCTGCAGAATCACCGTGTTTAAAGTAATTGCTCACAATAGGAACAGGCTTAGTGACTCAGGTTTTGGGTTAAATGATTATTATGGGTGCGTTTGGAACGACAAGTTCATCGTTGCAATTTGTGGGTCAAATCCCATTAGCTTTATTAATCCGCCCGCTGTACGAGACAGGTTGGCCTAATCTGATTAGGGATGTTTTTAGCGACGCAAAAAACTACGACGAGTGTGGAAATATTTCAACGTGTTTTCCTTTTTTAACGTGTGCGATACAAAGATAAAAGCTGGGGAGAAATTACACAAAAAATATACGAAACAAAAAAAAAGACACATTTTCAGTGTGAAAACTTTTCATATTGCACGTGAAACCGCCGCAGAATTCACAGCAGGAGCCGGAAGAAGGAATGTGGTCATTTTTGGGAAAAGTTTTTCTGGGTCACAAACGATGAGAGTGTGTTCTGGTTGTGAGCTGCGATCCAGTCCTGACTAAGCCCCTGGGTTAAACTCTCAATCTGCTGATCAGGCAGGGCCTGTGCGGAGCTGTACAAACAGTCTGGATGAATACGGGGTCAGAGCTGAGGCCACAGGCTGGCAGCGGATCCATCTCTAATCTCCTTACTATCAGATCTGTACCTGATTAATACCCTCCCTTCTGCAAAGGTGTCTAATACCTGTGCAGAACACGGCGCTCCCGTCTGAGGTCAGCCCGCGCACGTTCTCCTGCTCCGATTTAATCGCTTTAAACACTTCAATTGGAATTCATCATCTAAATTGACTGATATGATGCTAAAGTATGCAAAAAATAAACAACCAAAAAAAACAAAAACAAACACCAGCACAGCTGGGATGTCTGTTGGTTTCTGTGAAAGGTGGCGTGACCCGACCCCCCCGGGGACGTTGCACATTTCCCAGCATGCTGACAGCAGTGTGCTCACCTAAGTTATGCTGATGAGAAGGAAGAGGTTACGGAGGAGCAGCTGAGGGACACATTCATTTAGTTTGTTACCCCCCTCCCTCACCCCCTCCCTCACCCGCTCTACGCCTGCAACACTGTTCTGTTATGGAGTTATGGGGGTCAAACTCAAGATCAGGAAGAATCTGCCTGGGTTGCAAAAAAAAAAAAAAAAGGAGTGACTAAACAATGTGTTCTCTGTCAAAATGAGAGAGAAAAGTCTTGAAGGAAGCAAAATCTGTGCTGACGTGAGGCAGTGTGTCCTTAATTCAACAGCCTCTTATAACCTAACACCTCGTTTATCACAACGTCTGTGGGGTGAGGAAGAAACATGATTATGTCCATCAATAATTCAACACGTGTGTGTGTGTGTGTGGCAGTGAGTGTGTGTGTGTGTGTGAGATATGAAGTCCTTTTCTATATTGGACTGCTCCCCGAACTTTTGGTGATTACAGCCCACATTCTCACCGTCTCTCCATTCAATTCAGGGGTTTTAGATGCACTCTATTGATTTGTTCCTTTCACAGCTTTGTCCACTCTGCACCCCCCCCCCTCCACCCCCACCATTCGCTACACCACCTGAGGCTGTATGAGGTACTGTCAATAATTATTTTGTGTGTGTGGGGTCATGCGCATGTGTGTGTGAGAGAGAGAGAGAGAGAGAGAGGAAGTGGAGAACGACGGTGGAACGTGTAAAAGTCGGATTCTAACAATTAAAAATAAAGACTTTTTTTCTAAGTCGGATTCAAACAATTAAAAATAAAGACTTTTTTTCCTAAATACCTGGGATGTGTTTGGCCCAGCCGATGATGACCACTAGCTCACGGTCGGCAAGGTCGCAGAGCGTAGTGAGAGCCTTGATGTCGCTCTCGGGCATGGTCGGGTCAGGCATGGCATAGATCTTCTCCGGCTCCGCCACCAACAGGTGAGACACTATCTTTGTGACTAAGGACAGAGGAGGACGCCCAAAAAAAAAAGAAGAAAAAAAAAAAAAAACAGAGGTCAGGGATTGTATCGCTGCAGAACTTAGAGGAGAACAAAGATCCACAGAGGAAGACAAAACACAGAGAGTTGAAATGATGTAAAAACAAAAAACTACATTTTGGAAAAAACAACTGTAAAAAGAGTAAATGAAAATCTAAGCTGCTGGTACTCTTGGTGCTTTACTGCTACGCCACCTAGTGAGTACTATCATTTTCACATTTTTATTTTAAAATTTTTTTTTGGTATCTTATGTCTCACTTTTATCTCACCATCTGGATTCAACCTGGTTGTTTTGGTTCTGACCTCCTTAATTCTATTTCAATCTCTTCAACATTTTGTTCCAAAATCCTCAGCTCAGAAACTTCTAATTCAGCCGCGACTGGAACCTTATCTGGCCTAGATTTCTGACCAGCGACCCCTCGACTGTCCTCTCACGTCCCTCCGCTCTGCCTCAGTTTGTACCTGGGTGCTGGCCAGGCAGGGGAGGGGCCACGGAGCAGGGAGACAATGGACAAGTGATGGAGCAGTACTCACGGGGCTTCTTGGTGGGAGGGGGGAGCGTCAGGCCGAGGTACGGGTTGTTTTCTGTGTCCAACCTCCGCTTGTACTTCTGTCTGCCCCCTCGCACGCGGTCCAGACGAACCCCTGCGGAGGGAAATAAGAAAAGAACAAAGACTGAAGAGATCGCATTTGGAGACGATCGATCGTTTGGAGGACATTGATTAACGAAGAGAAAGAGGATCAAAGGATAAATGTGGATGTGCAGGGGTTCAAAACAACAAGAAAAAAAACAACAACAATCCTCCATTTAAATAGAAAATCAACTAAACACACGCATTAGACACAGGTGATAGACTGATAACACCTGTGTGGCCAATCAGAGGCAAACGTACTAGACCAGACCTGGACAAACTATGGCTCGGGGACCAGATACGGTTCGTGTTTTTGTTGGTTCAAATAATGTTAATGTTGTATTTGGCTACGTTTGTAGAGATATACTGGAGGAGAGGCTCAAAGGGCAGGGGTGGCTCAGTGGTTAAGGACGCAGACTTGGGTCCGGAAGGTTGCAGGTTTGAGTCCACCACATGGATGGTGTGCTGTGTCACAATGACAAATAATTCACTTTCAAACTGCTCAAAAGCCTGATTAAAATTCAAGCTGACATCATGAAGGAATAAAGACTTGACTTAAAGACCTGTTCAGTTTTTATTCAGCTTCAAGTTGGTTTTGTTAGAAAAAGAACCAGACTATAACAGCAAAGATAAATCCAGGAGGTGGAGACGTTGTTGAACTTAAGGAAACACAGAACGACTTGACAGCAGCGTCAAGACTTCTATGTAAACACACACACACACACACACAAAGGTATTGAAATGAGTGAGTGTGTGTGTGTGTGTGTGTGTGTGGATGCTCGTCCCATATGTGGTCCATGCCTGGCTGGTCTACTGTGACACAGCTGAGCCCAGAGCAGGTCTAAACAGATGAATATTTAACGCAGGGTCAGTGATCTCACAGACTGGCCTTCTAATTATTTAGCTTTTGGGTCGAGGCAGACTGAATACTAATTAGCTGTCAGCTACACACTCCTCTCTCTCTCTCTCTCTCTCTCTGTGTGTGTTTATTTGAGAGAAGGCGCTCAGGTGTGTGTGTGTGTGTGTGTGTGTGTGCTCGGCGGGATCCAGACAAGGAAACTTATCCAGTCCACGAGTGAGGACCTAATCCCACACGCGCTGCACAGAGCCCTCCACCGTCACATACGCAGCAGATAGATAACTGGGGTATTGCTTTCCCATAAAAGACCCTTATTTCACCCCTCTTCCGCGGGGGTAGCGCGGAGGCCTTATCACCCCCGACCACACCTACGGTCCCAGGTTCCACGCTGATACTGTAAATGTCACACGGGCCTCGTCATAACATTAGTTATTTATTATCTCATTATTTGATAAGGCTGTTTCTATTTGGGTGCCTTTCCTTTTTTTATTAATTTTCAACATAGTTAAAATATTTCATCTGCACTCTTCTGTTTATTTGATACCCGCGCGCAGGTATTTGGTTATTTAATGTAATTGTATGCAAACATTTCTATCCCGCCGCGCTGTATCTGAAGCAGCACGTCAGCGGTACGGCCTAAATATCCCAGATATCTTAATCCTGTCAAGAGGGAGAAGCCCCCCCCCCCCCCCCCCCCCTCCTCTTCAATTTACCTTGTATGCATAATGTAACCCCTCTCCAAACAAATTTAATTCTAAAGGGTGGAGGAGAAAAGGTTCAATGAAATGCTGGTGGTGGCGCTGGAGTTAATTTGTCAGCCTGCCGCGTCCTCTGAGCCAATGGCGCCGTGCGGCCAGAGCACTTCCTTGATGATTTCATCACTTTCTAACAGGGAGGACGGTGTCAAACCTGGGCTTTGTACAGCCACTGCAAATGAGCCTAATACAATTTGCCCATCAGCGAGTGCTCTCCGAGAGGATGAGTTTGGACGCGGCCCGTGCATGCGTGATTGGAGGTGACTCGGTCGAACGGGACGACGCCCGGTTAAAAACCTGGACGCAGTTTAAATGAAAACAAACACGGCGCTGAATTTATGCCAAACATGGGCAGCTTTTTTTTTGTGGCTTATCTTTAAAAACCACATTGAGGTCCTGACGCGTGCGCGGCACGCGGTGGCGTCACGTAGCTGTTAAACTCAGATTTTTGTCTACTTATATAAATGATTTGATTCCCTGGAAACACAAATCTGATTAGGATTGTTTTTCAATTTCCTGACACAGAAAACCCACTAACCTAATTACCACCATTTCCCAACTGAGTCTCTTCCTTCCCAGCAAACGCAAGGGAATCATTTGGCAGCAACTACCTTTACACACACACACACACACACACACACACTGGGCTCATGCATGATGGCTATGTTGATATTTGTTAGATAAAACATATTAGACTGTGGTTTTAGACACAATACAACCATCTCTTAAACAATAACTATGACATTTTATAATGAACGCTGAATATTGTTCGTCTTTTCACAGCGACACCGCTCTCTGCCTTGGTTCTTATCTCAATGAAGTTGTTTTTTTTAGTGGAAAACTAAGCGTAGCGTAAGTGGAAAGAAGAAGTTGAAAAAGAAGAAAGAAGTAAAAAAAAAGACAAAAAAGAAAATGAGAAACAAAAAATGTTTGAAATGAAAAAGAAGAAAGAAGAAAGAAGAAAAAAAAAAGAAAAACAGAAAATGAGAAACAAAAAATGTTTGAAAGAAAAAGTATGAAAAGGAAGAGCAAGGAAAGGAAAAAAGTTGAAAAAAGAGAAAAACTGCAGAAAAGAGAAGAAAGGAAAAGAAGGAGACGGAAAAAAATGAAACAGAAAAAAATGGGTAGAAAGAAGAAGGGAAAGGTTGGAGAGAGAGAAAAAGAAAGAAGAGTAAAGAAAAGAAAATAGGAGAAAAGTGATAGAAGGAAACAAAGAAAGAGGAATTGAAAGATAAGAAGCACAAAAGGAAAGAGGAAGAGAGGAAGGAAATAGGAAAAACAAAGAACAAAAAGAAGAAAAAGACCGAGAGGAAACCAAAAAAAAAATAAAAAAATGAAAGAACCAAAAACCCTGATTCTACTTTCTGTCTGTTAAACGTCTACAATCAAAGCTCCTGAAACTGGTTGGTGTTTTATGTTTCTGTGTTGAAAAAGTTTAAAGTTCTCCAAGTCAGGGTTTCCACATAACCAGGACGTTGTGAACCTAACCTAAGTCCTAACTCCTCGCCAGATCACAGAGAACGCTGCGGTGAGACGGCGCTCTGTTTACCCAAACAAACCCCGATTCCCACGTACTCCATCTTTAAGGAATCTTGACAATAATCCTTAAAGTACTTCTACATTTGAAGTGCATTTGCTGCTCAGGTTTAAGAGCTTAAGATCTTCTCGGTGCAGCTGGGACGGCCCTGCTGGAACTGTCGGCATGGAACATTCTTCTCATTGTCAAACCTGACGTCAGCGCTTCTTGTGCTTCCTTGGACTCGCGGCTCTGGCCCCTGGGCTGGGTTTGAGTCACGTGACGGTGTCAGCCGGTGTAAAGCCAGTGATCAAGGTAGAACGCTGCCTCTTTTAATTAGAACAGTCCTGGCTATAATTAACAGATGCTGACAGGAATTAAAGCTCGGCATTAACCTGTCTCATTTTACTGTCCGACAGGGCCAGACGCAGGCGGAGAGGAAGAGGCTGTGATTAAGTGCAGCGACAGGGAGTCGTTCAGTCGTGCTGTCAGCCACTGAGGCCAGGACTTTATTGGAGCCTCTCAAAGTTTCCTGTGTCCTCTCGGTGACACCTAAAGCTTTAAGTGACCACTCTGCTGTGGCTCCTTCAGCGTAAACACAAGGTGTGTTTCGAAATGTGCCGAGCAACATTTCATCTGGAGTCGTTGGGGGGGAGAGGGGGGGAGACGACGGGTGACCGCAGCCAACGCACGGTGTAGCGAGGGGCAGTGGTGAACGAGCTCGGGTATCAGCTCTTCAAAGCACAGTGCTGGAGGGGTGAGGGGTGAGGAGGGGGGGTGAGGGCTTGTGGCCAAGGCGGCTGGCATTTGTGTGTGGATTAGCCAAGCCCTGGGGCGGGGGCGGGGGCCGAGGCCAGCTGACCTGAGGCTCTTCTTTCTCTCCAAAAACAATAATAATCCCCGTTCAGGCGCTCTCCTACAGAAGGGCCTGTCTTCACTCACTTTGTGCGGCCCCTTATTTTGAGGCCCTCACCTGTTGAGAGTGTGGCTCGCTGGGGGGGGGGAGAAAGTGTCAGCATGTCTGGGATGGTTGGCAATGCCAAGAGGGGCTTAGGCGGACCCTATTTTAGCTGGGAAAATCAGAAGGCCACATGGCAAGGCATGGCGGACCTCTCCTTTCAAGGCAGCCGCCCTGTTAAACTGCCATCTGCACCGTTTCAACGCGCCGCTGTTGCCAGCTTTGCATGTTTGTAGTCAGGCTGCAGCAGCGCTGGTCACGAGTGGTGATGAGCGAGGGTGAGGGGGGGGTGAAGGGGGGGAACGACTGACAGGCCTTTGCCACCTCTCCCCATCTGTTGACCCTCAGGGGCTGCCACAGTGACTCCCCGTTCACAGGTTAGCGTCGACGTCTTCTGATGTCCCTCAGCTGACAGCGTGTTTGTCTCACCAACATTTTAAAATAGTTTTTTTTTTTTTAACTACTACGAGGCTGTATGTGAAACACCTGAGTATTTACATGTATTTACAGCGTAGTGAACCCACTGAGGTGCAGTGGAGGGGTCTTCATGGACGACTGTACTGTCAGTAAAAGAACACGACGACCTCTGACCTCCAGCACATGATGAGTTTTGACTTTGAGCAAAAACGTCTTCCACCAAAAATCATATTTTTTTAAATATATATAAAATGCAAAAATAACAAAAAATATGACAAAGAATATCAAAAACTTATTAAGGACGTTAGATCCCAACGATCAGTTAAAACCTTTTGAAATTCTCAAAACTGCTCTAAAAACATCCATTGATGAAAACACGATTTTTACAAAATAAACCATAAAAACTTAAAAGCAATAATCAATAATCAACTGTTATATTAGAAATAATAATACAATTTTTAAAAAAATTTATTTTAAGTTTTACAAAACAAAAACCCAGTGTAACTTTACCTCATTTAACTGATGCAAAAAGTTCAAAATATAAAGTTCACTTTATCCACCATGGACATGATGTCAACATTAAACCTGTGCAGGTCTCAACATTGGCTCCAGGGCCCGACTTTGGACACGACAGTGATGAACAAATGAAAAATACACAAGGACTTTCTGCTCAAAAACAATCAGTGAAGTTTCCCTGTACTTCTGCAGTACGTGTGTGTACTGTGTACTGTGTACTGTGTACAGTAGAGTGACTCTGAAGCCAGTCCACAGAGCAACTCCCACTGAATGATGTCAATGTAATCTCTCAATACTATCTTGTCTGCTCTGAGCTCTGATCCGTTTCCATTGATCAGAGGAAAAACCTGTTGGTCCTGACATTTGATTCTTCTATTGATCACTTCCTCCTTTACACACATATATACATATATACATGTATATGTATATATGTATTTATATATATTATATATACACATATAAATAAATATGCATACATATACACATACATTCATATAAAAATATATATTTATATATATATTATATATGCACATATAAATATATTTTTATATATGTATATATTTATATATATTATATATACATATATGCATATATTTATACATACATTCATATATAAATATATATTTATATATGTGTATATATTTATATATAAACATATATATATGCATACATAAATACATACGCTCATACATAAATATATATTTATACATGTATATGCATTACATAAATATATATATAATTATATACGCATACATATATATTTACAAATATATTATTATTGTTTGTTTCCTTCACAGGTACCGATGTGCCGTTGTCTTCCGTCGGGGGGCAGCACTGTTCTTCGCCGCTGCGGAGTTATAATTAGGAAGACTTTCCATCGAGACACAATGTGACCTTTCTGTGGTAATGACACTGACTGGCAACCTCAGTCACATGAGCGCCGACCGCCTCCACACCAGGAGGCCGAGCGTGGCGTTGAGCCGGCGGCTCGGTCCAGCTTACAGTTAACGCAGACCACGTGTTAATTTTCCATGTAATCGCAGCGCTCGAACGTGTTGGAACTCGGCGAAGATCGCGACACAAACAGAACTCCGGATCTGTTCTCTGCTCGTCGTGGAATGAAAAAAGTAGAAAAAAAAAAAAAAAAAAAAACGGCAGCGTAATTGTATTTGTGGGACAAAGGCGGCCGTTTTGGCAGTGGCCGAGCCGTGCTTCACTCAGTCGATGACAACGGCCGCGGCGGTTGCTGATGACAGTTGCTATCTTAAAGAGGAGCTTCATTCATATTCTGTGAATGTGCTGAACACACAGTGTGTGCATTAGAAGCGCGGGCTTAGCCAAAAGTCTGCACACAGCCCACTTTTTACACTCTGCCCTGACACTGGTCATTCATTTATCGCCGCTGCTACATATTTTTGTAGTCTCTTATTCTCCAAGATGATATATTGGCATAAATTTTTCATCAGATAGTAATGTGATTACTCTGTCTTTCTGGCACTGAGGCTTTATCTGGCTGCACGCAGTCCAGGGGATTCTGTTACTGCGTGGAGATCCATACAGGCTATGACTCTGGCTTCAGGTGGCAACTGGATATATATGCATCTATAAATCCCGCTCTCCAGTGAATAATGGGGGAATAATGCCAGAATATATGGACCCTGGAGAGTTTGACAGAGGAATTCAAATCGCTCAGTTTAAGGGAATTTCTTTTTTTTTCCCCCCCTTTTTTTTCTTTTCTTCTCTTACATCTTCTGTCGTTTATGCTAACGCTTACAACTAATTAGCACCTTAAAAAAAATCATTAACATCTTTCAGTAAAGGATCTTAAACAAACAACACTTTTATTCTATGCTGTTTTTGTTTTTTTTCGTCTCTTTGCGTTTGGATGATCTAACAAACAAGAGTGAGAGAGGGAAAGAAAAACAGAGAGACAGACGGGAACACAATCACTGGCAAAATAGAGTACGAATGGATTGTTGTCTCTCCAGACATGTGCTCACCCTCAGGGTCTCTGAAGGAGCTCAGTCATCAGCACTGAGGAGGGAGGGAGGGAGGGAGAGAGAGAGGGGGAGAGAGAGAGGCCGAGGAATCCATCGGAGGTGTGTTTAATTGTCACTGAATTCCCTGCTGGCGCGACTTTAAGAAAACCATCCACAGGAAGGGAGCTGAGATGTTCGGAAAACATTTAGCGGATCAATACGCCGGCGAGAGCTGAGACGGCGTGCGCTCACTGAGCCTTTTTTTTTTTTCCTCTCTCTCTCCAGGTGGAATACGGTTACGTTTCTATTACTCAGACGCACTCGCTCGACACATTCAGCATATTTCTGTCCTCAGATCAACTGCAAATTATTTACTGTGGAGTTACTAGGGGGCGCTGGTGGGTGAGTGGGGGGGGGTCATGATGTAGTACACAGAATGGAGGACTGGTTTTTTTTGTTTGTTTTTTTTTTTGCATGAAGGTGTGTTTTTTTTTTACTTCAAATATACATACAGTGCTGTGAGTGCAGCAGGATGACGTAATAGAATAAAAATGTTCTTACTCTTCTTACCTTCTTTGAGCATCCCCACTTTGAGGCATTTCATGAAGCGACAAGCCTGACATGATTTGCGTCTTCGCTTCGTGATCTCACACTCGTTTGTGGCCGGACAGCTGTACTCTATGTTACCTGGGAGAGAGAGAGAGAGAGAGAGAGAGAGAGAGAGAGAGAGAGAGAGAGAAGACGAGAGGGGAAGTTCTGGGCGGCATTGTTGATGTGAAATGATGTGATGATAATGAAGGATCAGGAGAATGAGCCAATACAGGGGCTGAACGTCTGCTCAGTTAAAGCAATCAAGAATTAAAATATATATATATTATAATTATTATTTTATATCATATAGTCATGCATATTTTTTTAAAAAGAAAAGGAAAAAAAATGTTTGAAGCACATGATTTAATTTGAACACTGAATGCACCACAGCCTTATTAAAATAAAAAAAGTCACATTAGAATTTACATTTTTTTTCTTTAGGTAAACCTACTATTTGTTTTGGGTTTTTTTTGTTTTGTTTGTATTATGTTTTTTATTTTCACCAAAAAGATGTAGAGAAATGTGAATTTTGAACCTTCTGAACCAGAAATCACAAAAATATCATCAAAACAAACACCAAGTTCTGAAACCGCCACCAAAAAAAACTAAATCTGTAGCTGACGCACGGCCAAAAGGCTACAAAAATGGTGTAAAATACATTATTTTTAGTTGCTTTAATGCTCTTTTTCAGACCAAATCTGAACGCCCAAACATACAACACTGAACAGAACAGAACAAACTGATAAATGTTCATGTTTTTGTTTCCGTGCCAACATTTTTAAGCGTTTATTAAAGGGATCAAATTTAAAAATATGTTCAGCAAACATTTCACCTTTGGTCTGCTGATTGACCAAACACTGAAGGTTTTATATATATATTTCTTTCATCCAGTGATTTCATAACAGCACATATATTCTTCCTAAGGTCTGGCATCGGCCCCAGATTCAGACATTTCTGCACCTCTAGGAATAACCTGGAAACACTTGCTCTCAGCGCTGCCATGTGCTCTGTGACAAATCGTCCACTTTTAACCAGACGTTCACGTCATATGCTTTTTTTTCATGGTGGCTCCACGTGGGTCGCGGGACCCCGGCTGTCCTCCAGCCAAAACTGCCCTTTTCATGGCGAGCGCCACAGCACCAGAGGTAAAAGCCGGGGGTGGAAGCAAAGCTAGGGTATTCCTGCAGGACCCATCGGTGGTCCGCCCCGTTCAGGCCCACCTCTAAATTGGTCTCATTAATTCTAGATGTGTCCCCTCCAGGCC